AAATTGAGAAACAACCTAAAATTTCCAAAGCAGGACATATTTAAATTATGGTATAGCTTAGAATATTGAGTATCTAACAATTTCTACTTCATTTTTTGCCTAATGTTCAGGTAAAATGTTCATAATATAATGTTTGATTTTTTTAAAAAGAATTGTTCTGGAGTTTCTTTTGGTAATACAGTGCTTACTATTTCCCAGGTATTGTCCTAGGCACTTCAAAATTATTAACTCATTTAGTCCTTATAATGGCCCAAAATGAATTAGATACTATCATGAGTACTCAGTTCAGTTCAGTGTCCAACTCTTTGCAACCCCATAGACCGTAGCACATCAGGCTTCCCTGTCCATCACCAACTCCCAGAGCTTGCTCAAATTAATGTCCATCAAGTCAGTGATGCCATCCAATCATCTCGTCCTCTGTCGTCCTCTTCTCCTGCCTTCAATCTTTCCCAGCACGAGGGTCACTTCCAATGAGTCAGTTCTTCACATCAGGTGGCCAAAGTGTTGGAGTTTCAGCTACACCGAAGTCTTGCAATGAATATTCAGGACTGATTTCCTCTAGGATGGACAGGTTGGATCTCCTTGCAGTCCAAGGGATTCTTAAGAGTCTTCTCCAACACCACAGTTCAAAAGCATCAATTCTTCGGCGCTCAGCTTTCTTTATACTCCAACTCTCACATCCATACATGACTACTGGAAAAACCATAGCTTTGTCTAGACAGACCTTTGTTAGCAAAGTAATGTCTCTGCTTTTTAATATGCTATCTAGGTTGGTCATAGCTTTTCTTCCAAGGAGCAAGAGTCTCTTAATTTCAGAGCTGCAGTCATCATCTGCAGTAATTTTGGAGCCCAAGAAAAAAAAGTCTGTCACTCTTTCCATTGTTTTCCCATCTATTTGCCATAGAGTGATGGCTGGATGCCATCCATGCCACCCATGTTGAGTTTTGAGCCAGCTTTTCACCCACCTCTTTCACTTTCATCAAGAGGCTATTTAGTTCTTCTTCACATTCTGCCATAAAGTTGCTGTCATCTGCGTATCTAAGGTTACTGATATTTCTCCCGGCAATCTTGATTCCAACTTCTGCTTCATCCAGCCCGGCCTTTCTCATGATGTACTCTGTATATAAGTTCAATAAGCAGGGTGACAATATACAGCCTTGATGTACTGGTTTCCCAATCTGGAACCAGTCTGCTGTTCCATGTCCAGTTCTAATTGTTGCTTCTTAACTCGCACACAGATTTCTCAGGAGGCAGGTAAAGTGGTCTGGTATCCCCATCTCTTTAGGAAATTTCCACAGCTTGTTGTGAACCACAAAGTCAAAGGCATAGCGTAGTCAATAAAGCAGAAGCAGATGTTTTTCTGGAATTCTCTTACGTTATCTATGATCCAATGGATGCTGCGAATTTGATCTCTTGTTCCTCTGCCTTTTCTAAAACCAGCTTGAACATCTGTAAGTTCACAGTTCACATACTGTTGAAGCCTGGCTGGGAGAATTTTGAGCATTACTTTATTACCGTGTGAGATGAATGCAATTGTGTAGATGTTTGAGCATTCTTTGGTATTGCCCTTGTTTGGGATTGAAATAAAAACTGACCTTTTCCAGTCCTGTGGCCACTGCTGAGTTTTCCAAATTTGCTGGCATATTGAGTGCAGCACTTTCACAGCATCATCTTTTAGGATTTGAAATAGCTCAGCTAGAATTCCATTACCTCCACTAGCTTTGTTCCTAGTGATGCTTCCTAAGGCCCACTTGACTTCACAATCCAGGATATCTGGATCAAGGTGAGTGATCATACCATCATGGTTATCTGGGTTATGAAGATCATTTTTGTATAGTTCTCATGCGTATTCTTGCCACCTCTTCTTAATATCTTCTGCTTCTGTTAGGTCCATACCATTTCTGTCCTTTATTGAGCCCATCTTTGCATGAAATGTTCCCTTGGTATCTCTAATTTTCTTGAAGAGATCTCTAGTCTTTCCCATTCTATTGTTTTCCTCTATTTCTTTGCATTGATCACTGAGGAAGGCTTTCTTATCTCTCCTTGCTATTCTTTGGAACTCTGCATTCAAATGGGAATATCTTTCCTTTTCTCCTTTGCTTTTCGCTTCTCTTCTTTTCACAGCTATTTGTAAGGCCTCCTCAGACAACCATTTTGCCTTTTTGCATTTCTTTTCCATGGGGATGGTCTTGATCCCTGTCTCCTGTACAATGTCACGAACCTCCGTCCATAGTTCATCAGGCACTCTGTCTATCAGATCTAGTCCCTTAAATCTATTTCTCACTTCCACTGTATAATCATAAGGGATTTGATTTAGGTCATACCTGAATGGTCTAGTGGTTTTCCCTACTTTCTTCAATTTAAGTCTGAATTTGGCAATAAGGAGTTCATGATCTGAGCCACAGTCAGCTCCCGGTCTTGTTTTTGCTGACTGTATAGAGCTTCTCCATCTTTGGCTGCAAAGAATATAATGAATCTGATTTCAGTATTAAGCATCTGGTGATGTCCATGTGTAGAGTCATCTCTTGTGTTGTTGGAAGAGAGTGTTTGCTATGACCAGTGCGTTCTCTTGGCAAAACTCTTGTTAGCCTTTGCCCTGCTTAATTTGGTATTCTTAGGCCAAATCTGCCTGTTACTCCAGGTATCTCTTGACTTCCTACTTTTGTACTCCAGTTCCCTATGATGAATAGAACATCTTTGGCTGTTAGTTCTAGAAGGTCTTGTAGATCTTCATAGAACCATTTAACTTCAGCTTCTTCAGGATTACTGGTTGGGACATAGACTTGGATTACTGTGATACTGAATGGTTTGCCTTGGAAACGAACAGAGATCATTCTGTCATTTTTGAGACTGCACCCAACTACTGCATTTCGGACTCTTGTTGACTGTGAGGGCTACTCCATTTCTTCTAAGGGATTCTTGCCCACAGTAGTAGAAATAATGATCAACTGAATTAAATTCACCCATTCTAGTCCATTTTAATTCACTGATTTCCTAAAATGTCGATGTTCACGCTTGCCGTCTCCTGTTTGACCACTTCCAATTTACCTTGATTCATGTACCTAACATTCCAGGTTCCTATGCAGTATTGCTCTTTATAGCATCGGAGTTTACTTGCAACACCAGTCATATCCACAGCTGGGCACTGTTTTCACTTTTGCTCTGTCTGTCCATTGTTTCTGGAGTTACTTCTCCACTCTTTCCCAGTAGCAAATTGGGCACCTATCAACCTGGGGAGTTTATCTTTCAGTGTCATATCGTTTTGCTTTTTCATATCGTTCTCAAGGCAAGAGTACTGAAGTGGTTTGCCATTCCCTTCTCTAGTGGACCACATTTCATCAGAACTCTCCACCATGACCCATCCATCTTGGGTGGCCCTATACGGCATGGATCACAGTTTCATTGAGTGAGACAAGGCTGTGGTCCTTGTGATCAATTTGATTAGTTTCCTGTGATTGTGGTTTTCATTCTGTCTGCCCTCTGATGGATAAGGACAAGATGCTTATGGAAGCTTCCTGATGGGAGAGACTGACTGAGGGGGAAACGGTCTTATTCTGATGGCCAGGGCCATGCTCAGTAAATCTCTAATTCAAATTTCTCTTGATGGGTGGGGCTCTGTTCCCTCCTTTCTGTTTGACCTGAGACCAAACTATGGTGGAGGTAATGAAGCCCCTTGAACTGCAAGGAGATCAAACTAGTCAATCCTAGAGGAAATCAGTCCTGAATATCCATTGGAAGGAGTGATGATGAAGCTGAAACTCCAATACTCTGGCCACCTGATGTGAAGAACTGAGTCACTGGAAAAGACTGTGATGCTGGGAGAAGATTGAAGGAAGGAGGAGAAGGGGATGACAGAGGATGAGATGGCTGGATGGCATCACCGACTCGATGGACATGAGTTTTGAGCAAGCTCCGGGAGTTGGTGAAGGATAGGGAACCCTGGTGCGCTACAGTCCATGGGGTCGCAGAGTTGAACACAGCTAAGCAACTGAACTGAACTGAAGTGAATGAAGGTAACAGCAACCTCCTTCAAAACATCCCATGCACACAATGCCACACCCAGTGCCCGTGACCCCGCAGCAGGCCATTGCCAACCCTCGCCTCTGCTGGAGACTCCTAGACACTCACAGGCAAGTCTCAGTCAGTCTCCTTTCTCCTGGGTTATTATTAATTATCAGTACTAGTATCCCCATTTTAGTTTACAATATTTAAATATAATACAATTTTTGTTAAAAAAAAGTTGAAAAATACACATGTAATATACACAACTTTCAAATATCAATTAAAAAGACTCAAAAATCTTTACCAAATGACAGTCATTATCTTCAAATTAATATGTAACTTTTCATTTGAAACTTTATAAAGCGTTCAGAAAAATATGTATTATTTTGTTATAAAGAAAGACATTCTGGCCTCTCTGTGGCTCAGTGGTAAAGAATCTGCTTGCCACCGCAGGAGACACAGGTTCGATCCCTGGTCCAGGGCGATCCCACGTGCTGCAGAGCAACCACGTCTGAGGGCCACAACTACTGAGCCTGCGCTACAGCCAGGGGGCGGCGACCGGCTACAGGCCACAGCTTCTGAGGCCTGTGCACCTGGAGCCCGTGCTCTGCAACAGGAGGCGCCACCGCAACGAGAACCCGCTCGCCACAGCTAGAGTGGCCCCCATTCACTGCGACCAGAAACGGTGCAGGCAGCGACGAGCCAAAAACACACAAATCAACTTTTAAAAGAAATATATTATCAAAAATCAATTACAATATATGGAAAACCAGTTCCCTCATATTATTCATATGAATATATTTGACTGTACTATTTATCATTGATATGACTCCTACAAATCACTTAAGCCCTAAGCCCTGGTTTTCTCATCAATAGAAAGGAAAATAATACCTTCCCTAAAAGGCCAAGTCCAAAATGCTTGAGCTCATAGTACTAGCTCGATAACTAAATTTCTAAATACTTAGGAAATTTCTGTAAATTATATGGCTACTACTTACCGACAGGATAATTCTCCATCCATAGCATCATGTTCATCTGTACTGGTATATGTTAATCTTCCGCCAACAACTGTTCCAACTAAGTATACCAGCCAGGCAAGACGTCCTAATACATAAAAAGAAGTTTAGAAAGAAACAAAGTTTAGATAGAAACAAAGCTTATTTTTCAGAATATTCTAAAATGAGCAAAATTTCTTCCAAACTAATGATATACTGTGAACTTAGTTCCTAACACAGAGTAAAGAGTTGGTTTTCATCAAGTTCATCAAGGCAGTAAAACAGTTTAAATGAGATTTTAGAACCTGATACAACTATGAATTCGAGCTCTACCAATATGCTATATGATTTTACATAAGCTACTTACTCTTTAAGTTTTAGGATTTTCATTTGCAAAATGGAGAAAATATCTACCATGAAGACTTGATGAACATAAATTTAATAACAAAACACCAAATGTAATGTCAACATCAAGGGCTGTTAGTAAGCCTAACTATGATCCAATGAGCAGTATCTTTTTTGAACAGTCCATGTCATGATAGTATCAGTCTCATCATTTTTAATACTGCCCAGGCTTGGAAGATAAGAGATGGTAATAAATTTACTCCCTTTGCATTTTAAAAACTGAAAATTTTTACTATGCAAATTACATTGTTTGATGACCAAATTAACTTCATGGGGAGTAGCAGCAAAAGACTAAGTAACTTTACAAGAGTGGCACAAATGGCAACACCCACAGTTTTCACAAATCTTTGGAACAGTCAAAACTGACTTTAGAAATGGAGCTATTTATTGAGTAATTCTTGTTTTAAAGACACATTACATCTTTAGATTCACTCATCTATGTCTCAAATTCTCCAAGATTTTTGAGATCTTTATGAGCAATTAACAACAAATCAATTATTTTTCAAAAAAGAAATTTTTTTGAAAATCTTACCTGGTAAGTATCCACATCCCCTTAATCTATCACAAAACCATGAATAAATCATAATTGACTAAGTATGCAGCCTTTATATTAGCAATGTAAAAAGAGAACACTACCTTGATCAAGTAATTTATAAAACAAACTGAAGCTTCAAGAAACGTAAAATTAGTGGGCAAAAAAAGTTAACAGAAAAAAGGGCCATGTAGGAAACGAATAACAAGTTACCAATATGCAGTTGAAATGTGTTTTATGATCAATATTAAAGCCTCTTAAAAACATAATGCTCTCCTTTGATGACCTCACTTCTGTGGACCCTCTCAAGTGGCAGCTGATTTCTTTTGCACCTCTGATATCTTGGGCCTCAAACCCAGCTGTTCAGTTGATGTTCCTCATTTTTACTTCCAGAACATTCTCCCTCTCCATTGTAAAAGCACTCAGCTTTACATCTTGTGTCATTATAGTACCAAATTATCTTTCTTACTGCAACTATCTACTCTGAGTTATTACTTCTTATCTTTTGAATATGTTAGTTGCCGATCCATTGACACTCTTTCCAACATTATTTTTATCATAACTGGAAACAATTTTAATTATCTACAAAGGTGAATTTTCCAACTCCCAACAATCCTTTGTTCTATTAGGAAACTACAAACAATGACCACCTAAACAACTTTACTGAAATATAATTCACATACCATCCACTTAAAGTTTATGATTCAATGTTTTTGACTGAATTCACAGTCACATAATCACCATCACAGTCTAGCTTTAGAACATATCCATCCCTCTTGAAATCTTATTCTGTACCATTTCCTATCCCCGCAGCCCTAAGGAACCAAGCAACCACGAAATCTACTTTATGTCTCCTTAGATTTTTCCCATTCTATTTCACACGGATGAGCTCATACAGTGTGATCTTTGGGACTATCTTCTTTCACTTAGTATAATGTGTAAGGATCAACCATGTTTTAGCTTCCTGTATTGGGATTTCAATCATTTTTATGTTCAAATAACATCCCATTTTTGAGGTATATCACATTTTGTTTAGCCATTCAAAAGTTGATGGACACTTGGGCTGTTTTCACATTTTGACTTTGTAAATAATGCTTCTATGAACATTTGCATAGAGTTTTTAATGTAGATATGTTTTCATGTCTCTTCATATCAAGAGTTGGGATTCATATCAAGAATTGGAATTGGTGGGTCATATGAAAGCTGTATTTTAACATTTTGAGGAACTACCAAACTACTTTCCAAAGAAGCTGTATCATTTTACATTCCCACCAGCAAAGTATGAACGCCCAACTTCTCCAAATCCTTGCCAATACTTGGTACTACCTATCTTTTTATTGTATCTCTCCTAGTGGGTATAAAGTGGTATCTTGTAATTCTGATGTGCCTTCCTCTAATGACCAATAATGCTGAGCCTTTTCCATGTGCTTACTGGCCTTTTTTATGTCTTCTTTGAAGAAATGTCTATTTAAATTCTTTACCCATTTTAAAATTGGGCTATTTATCTTTTTGAGTTGCAAGAGTTCTTTATATATTATTGATACAAGTTCCTTGTCAGATATGTGATTAGCAAACATGTTCTCCCATTCTGTGGGTTGTTCTCATTTTCTTCATGGTGTCCTTTGAAGCACAGAAATGTTTAATTTTCATGTGGGACAAAACTGCTAGTTTTTCTTTCGATATTTCAGCTTTTGATATCAAATCTAAAGAACCACTGCCTAATCCAAAGCCATAAGATTTAGTTCTACATTTTCTTCTCAAAGTTTCATAGCTTTAACTCTTACATATTGGACTATGATTCATTTTGATTTGTGTATTGTGGGACATAGGGGTCCAACTTCATTCTTTCGCGTGTGGACATTCAGCTATCCCTGCACCATTTGTTGAAAAGACAATCCCTTTGTCATTGAATTGTCTTCTCATCCCAATCAAAAATCACCTGAGAGTTAGGGTCATTCTCCCCCGCCCCCCGCCCTTGCCGAGGGCTATAGAACACTTCTCCCATAATTTTTGTAGGTCGTGTGAGATAAACAAGACTAACAAAAAAAAAAAAATCACCTGATTACAAACTGGAGCATTTATTACCTGAACTCTCAATTATATATCATTGATCTAGAGTCTACCTTTACACTAATACCATGCCGTCTTGATTACTGCTGCTCTGTAGTAAATTTTGAAATAAGAAAGTATGAGTCTTTCAACTTCCCCCCCTTTTTTTTTTTCCAAAAAAACATTGGATATACTGGGTCTCCTGGATTTCCACATCAATTTAAGGATCAGGTTGTCAATTCCTGCAAAGAAGACAGCTGGGATTTTGACAGAGATTACATTCACCCTGTAGGTCAATTTGAGGAATCCTTCTAAACAATATCATCTTCTAAACCATGGATGTCTTCCAACTAATTTAGATCTTTGATTTCTTTTAATAACATTTTATAGTGTATAAGATTTAACACTTTTGCAAAGTTTGTAGCTAAGTATTTTATTCTTTTTAATGCTACTGTAAGTCAGCGTCACTTAATTTTGATTGTTCATTGCTAATATATAAACCCACTGGTAATTTTTACTTACTGATCTTGTATTCTGCAACTTTGCTACTCTTGTACTAGTTGTAATAGTTTTTTGGGATTTGTTATTTTTTTCACTTCCTTATACCCTCATGTCTTCTCTAACCTGCTTGCCTATATTCAGTTCTGTTGTCAATCATTATAATCTGTCTTATATAGGTCAATTTCTCTCTTCCTCCACATTCTCATCTTACAAAACCATAATTTTTTAAATCCAATTCCCCACCTACTGTTTGTCTATCCACAAACAGTTTAATATAACTGGAAAAAGATACAACCGTGTTGACTAGTCTCACTTTGGATTCACCTTTTCAGTCAGGCCTTACACAGCTATCCTATCAGTTTCAATACCTAGAGTATGATAGCATGTCTTCAGGATGCTGCTAGTGCTGCTTAGTTGCTCAGTCATGTCCAAATTTTATGTGACCACATCGATTGTAGCCCACCAGGCTCCTCTGCCCATGGATTTCCCAAGAAGGAATACTGAAGTGGGTTGCCATTTCCTATAGGGGATCTTTCTGACCCAGGGATTGAATCCAGGTCTCCTGCTTGGCAGGCAGATTCTTTACTACTGCACCACCTGGGAAGCCCATGACTTCAAGATACCCATCATCAATTCCTTCCCTCCATGTATGCAATTGCCATTAAGAAGTGAGTCTATCTTTCCAATCCTTCGTAAGTCTGGGCTGGACTTTAACTAAAAGAATATTGCAAAAGTGACACTTGTTCCAGTACTGGGCTTAGTTTTTAGAGAATTGGCAGCTTCCTCCAGACTCTCAGGGAATTTTCACTGAGGGGAAGCCATTTACCATGTAAGAAGACCATATACCCTGAGATCATCACACTATTAAAAGGTTAGCAATGTAGAGAGACTTCATGGAGACAGAAATGCCCAACTATAGCTCATTCATCAAACATCCCAGCAAAGACAGAAGACTTTAGAGTACAGAGTCACTTAAGTGATGCCAGCCATAGCTGTCACCCAATTACAGAACACAATCTGTTGACATTTCATATTCCCCTTTCCTGATTTAATATATTTTTTTTAAATTTTAGCACTTATCACTTTCTAACAAAATATATTTTATTATTTACCTTGTTTTGTTATCTGTCTATTCCAAAAGAACGTAAATTGCATGGCAGCCATTACTGTTTCTGTTTGGTTGTCTATTGCATATCCAGAGCCTAAAACAGTGTCTGGCATATATAACTTATCAAATAGATATGGGTTATTGAATTAAGACATGACTGAGCATGCATACACGCTGAATTAAGAAATCATTACCTAGAAAATATAGCATGAAACCGGCAAGAAAAAGTTAACAGCTTATTTACCAATTTAGTAAACATTAAAATGTAGAGTCATTATTAAAAATGAATGTTAATTGTAGTTCCATTTCTATTGCCTAAATAAAAGCAACTTTTCAACACACATTCAATACAAGGTACAATCTATGATCTAGTCTATCCTGTTATTTGCAAATTCATCTTCTTGATAAAATTTACACATTTGTAATTACCCAAGTCAATATTTGTGGATCATTCATGGCCAAATGCAGAGCAGCAAATAATTTGAGTTGCCCAACGTGCACATTCCAAGATTAG